CTTCGTGGACGGTGGTGTTTGGAAGGAGGGATAGCTTAACAGCAAGCCAATCCGCTGCAAATTCCAACCTTCCTCCTCCAACTTTGAATGCCTCAGCGCTCATCGCGAGTTTCCAAAACCAGGGGCTTTCAACCAGAGATATGGTGGCTCTCTCTGGGGCTCACACCATTGGGCAGGCCCAGTGCACCACCTTTAAGGCTCGGCTCTACGGGCCCTTCCAAAGAGGGGACCAGATGGATCAAAGTTTTAACACCTCGTTGCAAAGCTCGTGCCCGAGCAGCAATGGCGACACCAATCTCTCGCCGCTCGACGTCCAGACGCCGACCAGCTTTGACAATCGCTACTTTAGGAACTTGCAGAACCGGAGAGGGTTGCTTTTCTCGGACCAGACGCTCTTTTCCGGGGGTCAGGCCAGCACGAGGAATCTCGTCAACTCGTACGCTTTGAGCCAGAACACTTTCTTCCAGGACTTTGGCAATGCCATGGTAAGGATGGGCAATATCAATGTGTTGACTGGATCCAATGGAGAGATTCGAAGAAACTGTGGAAGAACAAACTAGCTTGAGAAGAAGTATACTTGATAAACACCTTGGAACCAAGGGATAATTTTTATATATTGAAAAAATCTAGTTCACTTTGCCACAGTATTTACGAATCTGTTCATTTGGAGCTAAGAGCGGCTTGAGGTTCCCCATATTGATCATTCCAGTCGTAAAGTCCTGGAAAAATCGCGCTTGATCCATGGCATAAGTGTGCACCAGCTGCGCAACTGTCCAATCGCCACCACTCCACAGTGTCTGGTCAGAGTGGAACAATCTACTGAAATTTATCAAGTCCTTGTAGTACTTGTTGTCAAACACCACTAGAGTGCAAATCTAGAGGAGAAAGGTACCACTGCTGGGACACTGGCTCCTGAGCGATTGGTTGTAGTAAGGGTTCATATAATCTGGTACCATAGAGGTGAGATTTAAAGTTCCCACATTGGCCTTGGCCGACAGTGTGATGGATAGGCCATGGCTTTGAAAGCTGGTGATGAGCACGGAAACATTGAAGAAAGGTGGAAGTTCTACATTTGCAGCCGTCTGGTTTGCCGTGAGGCTGTCTCGCTGCCCAAAGGTAACGGTCCACGTTGGTCCATTCAGCTGGTCAATGTAGAATTAGTTCATACTAAGTGGTATTACCACAGTGACGCACTCTCTAGTGACCTAATGACGAGCACGATGATATCAGTGGATGAGACAGTGTTTAGGCATTTTGCCTCCACTAAAGCCTTGATGTTTTCAATCACGTTCTATCCTTGCTACAAACAAAATGGTATGTAGCTCCCCTCACTTTAGGCATTGATATGCCAAAATTGTGTTAAACATTATTTGATATCATTTTGCATGTAAGAGTTTGATATTAAGTGCATACCAAAACTTCATTTCATAACACAACAGACTTAGAGTTCAATTCCAAATTTAAATGCACTACAATGGGACTTAACTAATTTAGAAAATTTGGCAAACAACACCTTTAACGACTTCTCAATTATGCAAAAGTAAGTCTATCCATTGTCTCAACCCAATTGACTTTTTGCTCATGAGTTCTGAATTGCTAGCGCTTTTAAGGTACCTTTTATCTGGCATCTTAAAGAATATACTTAGAATAAAATTTTCATTGTGCCTTTTGCCAACTTATAAGAGAGCTTAAGGATACTAACGACTGTCCGTCGATCTAGCTGTTTAAAAATCTGGACCATTGGATCAGAGCAAATTGAGATTAGGGTTTTCAGAAGCAATGGCAGCAGAGGTCGTGAGGAAGAGGAGGCGGCCTGTTCCGCTGATCGGCCGAGGAGGGCTGATGAAGGACGTGAAAGCGACAGTGAAAGCTCTTGTCGCGGCCTACTGTGAGGAGGACGGCGAGAATTCTGTTCGCTTCATCACGTTTGAGGGCGGATCAGGCATCGGCAAGACACGGTGCTTGCAAGAAATCAGGGAACAGGTGCGCCTGTGCTGCACGCCAGCGGATTTCCAGCTGAAAAGCCTCTACGATGCGGGTGCTGTGCATCAGATTTCTGTGACATTCAACGGCCGAGGCTCCGAGCATTCCCACATGCCTCGCCCAGATATTGCAATGGATGGCTCCAAGTTCCTCGAGGTAACAATCCTTTCGGAGCTTTTGCACGGGCTGCCGTTTTTCAAGCTCGACGCAGAGACGCAGGGCTCTATCAGCAGCTTCCCATCCTTTGCAAATGCCATGGGCAAGGTATGCGAGTTTCTTAAGCAGGGAAAGCCGGGAGTGGTGCTCTTGTATCTTCTTCTAGACGAGATGCAGCTCCTAGCAGCGCAGCTGGGCACACGGGGGAAAGTGTTCCTCAAGGAGATGTGCGATGTAGTTGTCCGTTTCATGAGGAACACATGCAAGCAGGAGGCAGGGGGTCTTATCCTGATTCCTTGCTTAGCAGGGTGCAGGGTTCCAGAAGTTGGTACTTTTGGTGCGCGCAAATGGCCTAAGATCGCCCACCGCTTGACAGGTTTATCTCTGCAAGACTCTAGGGAGGTGGTCGAGCAGGGCGCAGGTTCCAGCAAGTTGATGGAGCACGAACAATTTGGGGTGCTGCTTCAAGACTGTCTAGGAGTTCCCAGGTTTTTGGAATGGGTTTCAGCGGGCCTGAGAAATACACGTGGGGATATAGGCTTGGATGACCTGCAAATGATCGACGTGGCCAGGAGGAGCATGATCACGTCCATGGAGTGCTGGGCAGGAGATGCCATAGAATTTGGAGGCTCCAACCTGGAGCAACTGAAAGACGCTTTTAGATACTGTCTTATACAAGGGAGTGTTGACGACTCCGAGCTGGCCATGGAAGAAAGTATTCGGGGGTACTTTTGCTGGAAGGAAGACGCAGGGAAGATTGTCTTTGAGGCTCCAAACGTGCTACTGCACCATCTTGGCCACCGTCTCAGGCTGCACCAGCCTCTAGTGGAGCTGCGGCCGGATCTGCTACAAAGTGAAACGCTGGAGCGGGCGTGCTTGGAGATGCTTTACGTGAGGCTGTGTCTTGCAAGAGGGAAGACGGTGAAGCTTGACGACCTGTTTCCGGGCTGCATCTGTGCCAGCCCGTTTGAGGTTCGGGTTCCCGAAAGGGTATCGCGAGAGGATGAGGTGTTTCAGTTTCTCAGACCAGGTCAGGCGGCACGCCATTTTGCGAGAAAGGGTGACACCAGTACAAGGCTTGTAGCTGCCGGAAGTCACTGTCCCCCGAGGACAATCTTTCTTCCTGCTCATGGCATCGTGATGAAGACCTTGGGATCGGGCCCCGTTGTTGACGGAAGGCTTTTCCTACGAGGCAGGAATGTAGAGGTTGGAGTCGAGGCATTTGGCACACTGGAGCTGTGGATCCAATGTAAGGGTCAGCAGAAAGTCACAGTACCCGAGATGAAGAAGTGGTGTGACGAGGCTTTCGATGAGGCACTGGAAGTGTCCGGCAGGGAAAAGGTGTACATCATTTTGGTGCCATACCATAGCTTTGACGCGGATTTACTGGACGCTTTCTTCGAAGAGCAGCAGCTCCTAGGACGGCAGGTGTTGGTACTAGATGGTGTCGGCTGTGAGGCCTTCATGCCTGGCTTCTTTCACCGCTGTGCCAAGCGGTCCTAATCTTCCTTGTTGTGGTTAGCCACCCAAGCTAGTGAATTCAGTTCTCTTATCATAGGATAGATCTTCAATGTTCAATCAAACTTGAAGGTGGCATTTTGGTTGATACCAATATGAAGAAATTTATGAAGCCTTCTTTATAACCCTTAAACCATATCAGGTTAGAAGAAAATGATTTTAATATAATGGAGGAAACATGGCATTATACCCCAGAGGATAAGAAACATATCATATTACAGAAGTCCTTTAGTCATGCCATAAATTTCTGTAGATGATTTTCCAGTCAAACATCATAAACTATTAGTCAAGGCCATTTAAAAAGGTAATATTTAAGTAAAATACATAATACTATACCAATACAATTGGTAATGATCCTAACCAACTGTTGAGGTCCTTCATCCTAGAAAATCTTTAAATATAAGAAGATTTTATGATATTATTTCAGAACTAGATTTGAACCTCTCTAATACTAATGAAATAAACAGTATTTTGTATTTATAATTTCATTGTATTTAAGTTTTGACTTCTAGGCCCATGTTTCCAATTTTCAATTCTGACTTATGTTGTCCATATAATTTGAATTGAATTGTTACTCTATTTTCATTCTCTTGTTTCTATAATTGACAATATTAACATTCCCATACCTGAATTGTTCCTCTATTTTCATTCTCTTGTTTATTATCATGCAATAAGGCTATATTGTTTTCTTTCTTTCATGGCTATTTATTGTGATTCTCCATGGCCATATTTCCTTGGACTTCCTTCATATAAGGTTTGTTTAGCTTCTTGCAGTTGCTATCAATGGCTACTTCATGTGGGATGACATGGCTCTAATACCAATGAAATGAACAATATCCCTCACACAATTGCTTGGATATAATATCAGAGTGCTTTGAAATGTCTAACCCATTCATCACTTTGCCACTAGTCTCCAAGGTTCACATTTGACATCCCATATATATAGGTTTGCATGTCAGAAGGTCTAGCGCTGGTAGTTTTATAAACAAGTTCCACCCCAGATTCTTTTTCTTCACCTAAGGCATCCTCAAACTGATAAACCCAGAGCATGTAATTCCATGTGATATAAACTCTTCTTTGTTACTTTCTTTGTTGGGGAAGACTTTGCGCTGGTTGACTAACTAGCGCAAAGTCTTCCCAATTAAGTAACGAATACAAATGGATCAGAATTCAGACATCTGACAATCATTCCATTTGATGCGACAACAGGCAATGAACGCCATATGACATCATATCTGATATTTAATTTCTGTGGCTGATTGCCATAAAACCTGGAGAGATAAGAAAGAAGACTTTGGAGATTGAGATGGAAGAAGATTTCCCACAGATACAGAAGCTCCATGTACCCTAGTGAACAAAAGTTGTATATAGACAGTCAAGATACCTTGCAACATATCATGCATATATATAGTTTCCAAATTTAAAATGCATTTCTACCATACCCTCTTAAGTTCTGACAAAAGCTGGTCTGTCCACAGGGTCCAGCTTCTCGGCCGAAAAACTGGAACTCGTCCTGCTGCTGCTCCTTCAATCAATAACGTTTTCCACAGAAGCAATAGCAGTGTCCAAACCCTCCACCAGAAACGAAAAGAGCAAAGCGCTTCGGTTTCATCGATCAAGAGCGTCTCGTCAACTAGCCGCTTCTTCACGCAATTGTCGTACTTCCGAAGAGCGCTCTGAAGATGGACTTCTTCCAAACACCCTTGGGCCCATACAGCACGTAGCTCCTAAGTTGAGAACTCCAAAGATATGCCCCTTCTCAGGTTTATGACTTTGCAATGAGTACGATGCAGCTGAAAGGCACAACACTGTATCGTTCCTGGAGGCCTCCGACCCCTTCCTCGCAAAAATCTTCGGGGTGAGCGAAATGGGTGTCAATCTGCTCGCAGCCATGGCTCGTGAGATTAAACAAACACACTGGTGCGCAAGAGAATAGAAATCGTACCAGCCTAAGCCAGCGTTTTCCACCCGGCGGACGTGGGAGTGCGGCATTCACGGCGTAAGTGTGTGCGTTGAACGCCATGTAGAGATCTCCACCTCCAAGCTTGCCCTCGTGTAGCCTGCAAGCAAGGACGATTGAGAAAAATTAAATGGCGAAAGTATCTTCACTTACGTGAAAGCTAGAAACCGAGAATCTGGATTGTCCCACTGGGTTTCATGCCATGTAACATCGGACTGCACAAACGTCGGCTTAGTAATACGGTTTGCATCGTCAGGATTCGAATAGAGCTTACGTTGGAGAGGAACTCTGAACGAGCAAGCAGAGGATGCTTCAAGCGAAACTTTATAACCTTGGAAAAAAAAGCAAAATGATCCTTCTTCTTTTGGAGCTGGAATGAATTATGTTGCTCAAGGTAAGAATTCATAGTAAAAACTAACACAAATCAGCGTACCTGGGTCCATAAAAAATCGTTTAGACTGGTGTCATGACCATACGTGTTGTTGTTACCATATTTTGTATGGGCGTATTCATCACCCATGATCATCATTGGCGTTCCCTGAGATTTTTTACCAAAGAGCGTCAAAATATGAGAGAGACAACAAGCTCAAACCTGAGAGAACATTAACGCTACGTGTAGGTTTTTCATCTGGCGTGCTCGAAGACCGTTCACAGCCTGATCACCCGTTTCACCTGCACAGAAACACGCGCGCTCTTTAGAAAAATTTGCCGACCTCAGGGCGAAGTGAAGTACCTTCTACTCCACAATTCCAGCTAAAATTATCATTGCTGCCATCTTGTCCACGCTCCCCATTTGCGTCGTTGTGCTAAGGATTCATAACATTGTCACCCTTGCGTTTCAAAACAAGGACGTAAGCCATTTGCTTACCTTCATGTTGTATGCCACAAGGTCATATAGAGTGAAGCCATCATGTGCAACAATAAAGTTGATACCATGGTAAGGCTTTCGTTGGTTTTTCTGCCAATCAAAACAAATGAAAAGTATCAACAAAAGAAAACGAAATGCCGCCATCAAACATTGTACAGATCTGCGGATCCAGATAGCCGTGTGGCCAGTGTCCTCTTCATTCCACAATCGCCCTGTATAGACAATCAGCATATCAGTGACTTTTACTGGCATAGCTCATCCTAGGTACCTTGACGAACCGCCGCAGATCGTCCCGATATTTACCATTCCACTCTGCCCACCTGAAAAATCAAGTCGGAAGTGGAAGGCTTACAAAGCGAGCCAATCTTGAGAAATAGAAATGCGCACCTGTCCCAGTTAGGAAACGCGCCTACTAAATACAGGCCTCCACAATCCCAAGGTTCGGCAATAAGCTTGCACTTGGACAGCACTTCATCCTTACATATTGCCTGCAAGGATATGATGCGTTCTTATGGGGAATGAAAAAAATGAAAGCCAACCAACCCGAATAAGAGGAGGATTCGCCAATGGAGCGCCATTGGTACCCCGGCAAAGAACACTGGCAAGGTCGAATCTAAATCCATCAATATGATATTCCGTGACCCTGAAACCAGAAGCTGAACGCATTATGATTGAAACACGTCCATACCAGTGCTTGAGGCTGTCCAAAATAAACTCAGTAACGACCGGATGGTTGCAATTCAGAGTGTTTCCTACACGTAAAACACATCAGCAATGCTCCTGACAAAACAGAACAATGAGATTTACCGCATCCAGAATAGTTCATGTAGCCGTTTGCATCCATCATGTAATACACCTGCATTGAAAAAGAATTGAACGTGGAGATCGATTTTCAAACTGAGACAAATTATACCGCATTGTCTACACCTCGGAAGCATGTGACATAAGGATCTGCATTGCCTCCTTCGTTTGTGTGATTGTACACCACATCCAAGAGAACCTGCTCAAATCCCAAAACCAGAAACATAATGCTTGAAAATTTAGTGCCTACGCACCTCAATCCCCGCTTTATGAAGCGCTTTCACCATTTGCTTTAGCTCCAGAGATGCAGCTATAGGTCCACCTCCGTTGCTGGCAAACCGACTCATCGGAGAAAAGAAGTTTATGGTTGAGTAGCCCCAAGCGTTTACCTGAATAAAGGAATGAGTCTGTACAAATCGCAAGAATTTAATCGACTAACCATGTGGTCCCGTGGGTTTGGTCTCCTTTGAAACTCAAGCTCGTCGTACTCAAATATTGGAAGAAGCTCAACTGCTGTCACGCCAAGCTCGACTAAATGCGGAATCTGTAAGCAAGAACATATAGCCTGCAAAATTCCTAAGAAGAGAAAAAAAAAACCTTGTCAATAAAGCCAAGGTAACTTCCCCGAACTTCTTCAGCAACACCAGAAGATTGGTCCTTTGTAAAACCACGCACACTCATCTCGTAGATAACCAGGTCTTTCTGCAAAGTCTTGTAAGGATGAAAAGAAAATAAAAGACCAGAAGCTCACCTCCGGGACCCTGGTGCGTGCTTCATCTCCCTCCCAGTCAAATTCAGATAGTGTAAAATCGAAAGTTCCCCAGTGCGGAGCCAGCTTCTGGGTCTTATCTGCAAAAATTCTACGTCCTTCCACATACTTCGCATACGGATCAAGCAGCAGCGTGTTTTTGTCAAATCGACTATTCTTGTCGCGAGGTCCATCAACATGATATCCATACAAGACACCGCTTAGCGGGATGTTCTACAAAAAGAACAAGAAAGTATGTAAAAGGCTAGAGCTTTTTCTACAAAAACATTACCTCAAGACATATGTGCCAGACGTTTCCAGTTCTGTTCTTTTGTGGATCGAGCACAATCTCTTTAACAGGACCTTCTGTTCCCAGGCGACTGTAATTGAGAACGAAGAAAGACACCAGTAAAGCGACGAAACAAAAGCAAAGAGGCTAGCTTACACGCATAGCGTCACAGAAGTTCCATGCTCTGAAAACAACGCAAAATTGACGCCCTCTCTCAGCTTAGATGCACCGAGGGGAGTAGCCTGCCCGTTTGACACTGCAGGATCCAAGCCTGCCTGCAAAACAGGACCGCAATCAAAATGCCGCAAAACTCAGAAAGCTCCCACCTTACCGTATCCATGCTCGCAAAAATTCGTGTTCTTCTAATCTGGACAGAAACGCAACAATGTAAAGAACAAAGTTTCAATGTTGGCGAGTATCTCTTACAGCACAAATCCTATTCAATCGCCTCGACGCTGGGCACGCTCTCCAATTGGCGCGACCAAACCCCTCCTAAAACCGAAAACAAAACAAAGTTTGTTCGATGAGAAAGAGGATTGTAGCCACATTCCAGATTTTTACTCACCGGATGCGTGACAAGGTGAGGCAGGCTTGTCGTTTTAGCAACAGCCAGCCTTCGCCGCGGAAACGCAATGGAGCTGCTTCAGTATCTCGCGTGATCGTTGCAAAGAGCAAGGAAGAGATTTGACCTCATTGGCGCCGCCGGCGCGGAGTGGAGCGCCCAGAATCCACCGCGAATGCAGCTAGAATGCGATGGAAGAGAGGCGCATTGATTCATCGCTGTGGCCGATCGAGCGCCTTTCCTTTTTCGCTCGCTAGAGCCCTAAAATCGAAAAAGAGAGAGAGGGATCTCTTTTAGGGTTTTGACGGAGAGCTTCTCGAGGCTTGTAGCGTGGAGAAGGCGGCGATGATAGGGATTGTGTAGCAGCAGCCGCCATGGGTCGACCTTCCACTGAAGGTTTTGTAGCTCAGGCCGCGGCAACGAGGCTGGAAGAGCCCGATTTTTCCAGCTCCAAGTGGTATTTCTCAAGAGAGGAGATCGAGAAATCTTCGCCCTCGCGGAAGGATGGGATCGACAGCAAGAAGGAGGCCCAGTACAGGAGGTCGTATTGCGCTTACTTGCAGGAGCTGGGAATGAAGCTCAAGATGTAAGTTCTTTGGTTTCTTCCTTTCTCTTTTTTCCCCCATTTTTGCTATCGGGCTTTTCATTCCAGGCCCCAAATCGCCATTGCAACCGCGATTGTTTTTTGTCATCGATTCTTTCTGCGACAGTCGCACGCTCGCAACGATAGATTTGTAAGTTTCATTCTCCTGTGGAGAAGAACGAGAATGGTGGTGATGGTTTTATTCGCAGATGGTTGCGACCATAGGCATGTTTCTCGCTGGCAAAGTGGAGGAAACTCCTAGACCGGCAAACGATGTTGTCTTGGTATCCTATGCGCTTCGTCACAAGAAGCCCATCACCAAGGAGGTTTACCAGCGACAACTCCGGCTGCTATTGACAGGAGAGAACCTTTTGCTGTCAACACTGGGCTTTGATTTGAATGTCTCTCACCCATACAGACCAATGGTACTGGCAGTGAGGAAGTTGGCCCCGGCTTTTCAATCTTCCATCGCACAAGTCGCTTGGAACTTTATAAATGACGGGTAATAAGTTTCTTGTCGATGCGAGTCACTAACGCTTCTATTTTTCAGGCTGAAAACCACCTTGTTCTTGCAATTCAAGCCTCATCACATTGCCGCTGGAGCCATCTTTCTCGGGGCTAAATTTCTCAAGCTAAAACTTCCGGGCGATGGTGAGAAGGCTTGGTGGCGAGACTTTCGAGTCACTCCAAGGCAGCTAGAAGGTTGTCTGATTGCTACTTGTCTCAACGTTTAATTTCTGTCTCTTGCAGAGGTCAGCAATCAAATGCTGGAACTCTACGAGCAGGCAGGCTCCAATCCATCGCGCGCTAGTCGTCCAAGTGCCAGAGTTGATAGTCCTCCTTCTGGTCAAGTCTCTACTCAGACGGAGGTACGTGACGATGTCTCGAGAAGAGCTAGCAATTCTCCCGGTGAAGTCATATCACGCAAGGAACCCGACGTGGTTGAGCCGCAGCAGGAGAAGACACAGGTGGAAAGCATCGATGAGGCCAAGCTCAAAGCTGCTCTCAAACGCAGGAAATCCCGAGTGGAAGCGGTGGCAGCTCCGCAGAAGCAAGATGTGGTTACCGATGAAGAACTACTCGAACGAGAGCTGGAGAATGGCATTGAAGTTGCGAGGCCGAAGAAGATGGAAAACGGGGATATGCACCGAGAAACTGGTAAACAGGCAGCTTCTTTAAAAAGGCAGCGTCCCGACGAAGTAGCAGCGAAAAGGGACCGCCCGGATGAGGAATTTGTGAGGAGGGAGGTGGCCGTTAAGAAAGAGTGTCTCGACGAGGTGGTGATAGCAAAGCCAGACGAGGTGAAAGAGCGTATCGACGAAGTTGTCACGAAGAGTGTGCGTCCGGCCGAGGTGACAGTCAAGAAAGAGTGTGTCGACGAGGTGGTGTCCCAGACGGACCATCACAACGATGTTCTAGCACAAGTTGCGGCCATGGAAGATCGTTCGGAAGAACGTTCCGACGAGATGGTAGCCAAGAGAGAGCGTCTCCACGAGGTGGTAGTAAAGATAGAGCGCTCAGATGAGGAGGTGGTAGCAGAGCGAGACCATCCAGACAAAGTGGTGGCAACGAAGATCGACGAGAATGTGCCGGCGCTAGTCAAGAAGGAACTTCCGGATGGGGTGATAGAGAAGGTTGAGGCAAAGAGTGACGAGGTGGTAGTGAAGGAGGACAATTCAGACGAGGTGATGGAGAAGAAGATATCAATCAAGGAAGAGCGTCCAGAGGCCGATGTAACGGCAGCCAAAAGCGACGAGAAAAGGGAGCTTCAGAGCGACGAGAAAAGGGAGCGTCCAGAGGAAGAAGAACCGGTAAGCAAGAGGAAGAGATTAAACGACGAAGATCTCCCTTCCCAGCCACCAGCAGCAGCGGCAGCAGTGAAAGTTGAAGCTCCGGACGAGGAAGAAGGCGAGCTCCCGTCATCCGGCCACGACTTTCCTCCTCCTCGATCGCCACCACGGCCAAGTCGCGAGCGAAGGATGGTATCGCCTCACGAGAGGCCGAGGCCACCTGCATTCCTGCCTTTCGACACTCGATACGATCGGCGACGAGACTTTCATCAGTACGCTCGACGAGAGACATTCTTCGATCGACAGCCGCTGCATCAGCCGCAGCATCACAACGCTGGATTTCGACACCATCGCGATTACTACGCTCCTCACCAGTTCCAGCAGCAGCAGCAGCACTACTATCAGCAGCAGCCGAGACAAATGGAGTGGCAGCACCAGCAGCAGCAGCACCATCACCACCACCATCGCCCACCGCCGCCACCGCCGCCGAGAGAGCCATGGATGGAGCGAGACGCCAAGAAAGCTCGCTATGACTCGTATGTCTCCAAATGACAAAATCTCGCAAAGCTTTTGTAAATAGCACAAAGGGTTCTTCGCTTCTTCTTTGTCTTTAAAACTTTTTTGCGATTTAGGGTTTAGGGCATGGAGAAGCGCAAGGCACAGGTGCCGCTAGTCTGCCACGGCCACTCCCGCCCGATCGTCGATCTCTTTTACAGCCCTGTCACCGCTGATGGATTCTTCCTCATCAGCGCCAGCAAAGGTAGATCTTTCTCTCGCGATCTCTTGGTTTCAATTGCGGCTGCCACAGATGGAAAGCCAATGCTAAGAAATGGGGGCACTGGCGATTGGATTGGAACGTTCGAGGGACACAAGGGTGCTGTGTGGGCTGCCTGCCTCGACACACCCGCATTGAGAGCAGCCACCGCTTCTGCCGATTTTAGTGCGTAAGTGGCCGGATTTTCCCCCCTCTTTTCTTGTGTCTCACTCCAGATCCTCAGGAGAGTGTGGGACGCTCTGACGGGAGATGAATTGTACTCTTTCGAGCACAAGCACATCGTTCGAACGTGTGCTTTCTCCGAGGTAAATGCTGCTCTCACAGACCACTCAAAAACTCTTCTCTTTCTCTCTTTTTTTTCTTTTTCCTTGTTCTTTTTATTACCAGAGCACGACACTCTTGCTCACAGGTGGTCAAGAGAAGATCCTTAGGATCTATGATTTGGAGAGGCCAGATGCGGCTCCAACAGAGATGGAAGGCTTGACAAGCACCATAAGATCAGCGGTATGGCACCACAGTGACCAAACCATTCTGAGCTCGTGTAACGATACTGGCAGCGTGCGGTAAGCAAGTTTCTCGGTTTCGTCTCTAGATGATGGGAAGAATTGTTTCCAGGTTGTGGGACGTAAGAACGAAAACCACAGTCCGGCAGCTCGAGACAAAGTCCCCGTGCACGAGTGTCGAGGTCAGCCGCGACGGCCGATACATCACAACCGCGGATGGCAACAGCGTCAAGTTCTGGGATGCCAATCAGTAAGCTAGTCTATCCTTCGCGTTTCCTTCATTCATTCTTTCTTTCTTTTGTTGTGTGTCAAAAGCTTTGGCATGGTAAAGTCGTTTACCATGGCTCGGCCAATGGAGTCGGCGTCGCTATACCCGGCCCTGGGGAAGTTCGTGGCTGGAGGGGATGATATGTGGGTGCGAGTGTTCGATTTCTACACCGGGGAAGAGATTGGTAAGCAAAGTGATCCTTTACTGCTCTCTCAGCCTGGAACTCTGGATTGTTTGTTCTCTCTCCAGAATGCTGCAAGGGTCACCACGGGCCGGTCCATTGCGTGCGATTCTCACCGGGCGGTGAATCGTTTGCGTCGGGCTCCGAGGACGGGACGATTCGCATATGGCAGACTGGTGAAAGCGGCGGTGGCGGTGGAGGTGGTGGCGGCGCTGGTGGCGCTGAAGAAAGCGGGAGCGCACCGCCGAAAATCACTGTCAGTGCCGAGGATGTAGCTCGCAAGGTGGAAGGCTTCCACATCGAGCTATGATCCAAAACAAATAAACGTTTAAAGAGCGTTTAGTGGAGCTTAGGTTTAGCGGGAAATTTAAAATTTAGGGTTTTCATACTGGTAAAAAAATGTGGTTTGATTGTAGAAAGGACTAATTCTGAACACGTAAACCAGAGAGGCAAATTACCACTGCCAAAGATTTGGGCTTTGATTTCCTGTCTTGGCCGCTGCTTTGTGGTTCCAGGCGACAGAGCCACCTCAAACCACTCGGTCGTCTCAAGAGCGCTGCAAAACCTCTGGCCTAAGATGTTAATGTCCATGAAATCTTCCTCTTTGCTCCTGTGAGTCACACCAAAAGATCGGATAAACGCAAAGAAACCCACCTCAAGTAGCTCACTAGACCATCGAAGCCATCCCTGGAGCTTCACCTCCACCTCTCCTTGGCAATGAGCACAAAAAGATGGCCGTCCAAGAGAAACCAGCGGCAGCGCAGTGGAGCGAGTCGCCGTGATCTTCGTCTTCGTCTTTCTGCCCAGGAGATTCAGATCGCCTTTCTCGATTGTCATGACGTGAAAAACGCTCAAGACACAGACGCTAATCTCCTCCACCTGTGGATCACACTGCTCTTCAAAGTGCTCCACAGCCATGGCGATGACGAGCGCGACTCCCTCGCGGGTTTCCAGGTCCATAGCTAGCAGAATCCTGTGCTTGCCATCCTTGCTCATGATCCAGGGAAGCGCTGCATTCGCATCGTCGACGACGTTCCAGCAGCGGGAGAGGGCAGTGTCATGTGCCTTTGAATCGTCTATAATTGAGACTATGAATATTATCACCTCGTCCATAAAGAGACCGATACATTTCCATGCTACCAGAATATCATTTCAGCTAACGAAACACTTGGTTTCCTGGGAAACAAAATCCAGAACAGCTGCAGGCATGGTGCTCCCGAAGATGCCAAACTGCCGTTGCTCAGGCATCAAACTGACCAAGAGACGCACTTCCTGAAACAAAGCATCGTGAGACTGAACATCACAACTAGCAATCGAGCTTACCTCCAGGCCAAAAGTTTTTGAGATCTCGTCAGCATCGTCCATGCCCAGTACGGAGAGAGAGACAAGAGAATCCTTAGGAAGACGATTGCACGCCTCATAAACGTCAGGCGGAGTCCCAACAAGAACATGCCACTCTTCAGCTCCATCACTTGAGAAACAACGAACCTTGAGATTCACGTCCTTCGACCGCAATCCCACCATCTGACGCATGATCTGCAGCGCATCGTTGCGACTGGTTGCGACTACCACCGCCTGAAATGGTCCCCGACTCAAATCAACTCTCTGAAGTACAGAGACACAAAGTGCTGTGGTACAACCGCTTCTTCGTGGGCCTTGCTTAAGGACGTTTAAGCCCGCGCAGAAAGCAGCAATGGCACTTTGCTGGAGGGGAGTCGGAACCTTGTAGCCTAAGACAGAAATGCAAATCTGTTTAGATTGGAGAACAAGAGAAGAAAATAAACGCTTACCGCAGTCCGAAATGCCTTGCAACAAGCTGGCACGAAGGCCCATTGCATCGAACGTCTTAGACTCTGTGAACTGTGCAAGACGGCAAGTGGGCGATGCTCTGGAAAATGAACTCGAGTTAGCAATCGATCAATGCTCTTGTTACTCAACTCACAGGTTGGGTAAGTTGAAAGCTTTCAAAGTCGCAACATCTGCAAGAGACTGGTCCACACGCAGGCACATCTTTTTCACTTTGACGTTCAGCTTGGTCGTGAACCTTTTAACAGCCTCGGCTCTCGAAACGGCATTAACGCCTCCAGGCAGCGTGGGAGTAAACGACTCGAACATTTTCCTAGGAACGAAGTATATGAGCTCCAGCTTCGTACCATCACCGTAGCATCGTCTGCAAAAACGAAGCCGAATCGACACTAGGAAAAAACACAAGCGACCGACTCACCTCAGGAAACTCAAGGCTTCAACAAGCCCTTCGGTGACCTCGAGCTTCTTGCCGTCTCGACGGCTTGTCACAGTTGCTTGAAGAACCCTTCGGCCTAATATAAGATCCCAGCTCCTGTTGCTCCTGGACTCGGGCCTGACGACAGTGCAGTCCAATATAAACGATGGCAGGACCGCATTGTTTCCAACCGACTTCGGTGCAAACTCGAACCGCACCAACGGAAGATCTTCGTTGAGAAGAGGACCCCATTTCCCTTGCTCATCCATTTCCTTGCTGCTCACAGAAATATTCCGCTCCAGCAGACAATGGAAGAAGGCATCAAACAGAGAGGCTCGCAATTTTTCTGAAGCATGTCCTCCAGCTATATTATCAATTAGTGATGGCCGCAACAGTCTGGCCACCCCTGCCGCCACAAAGTCAGATGCAAACTTCAGCGGTGCAAATACATCATGTAGCTCGCAGCTGGTTACGTCCACGTCGTAATGGTAGACCTGGAGGTAATCTTCTTCCTTCTCTATCGACTCATTGTTGCCAGGAACGTCTACGACCATTTGTCTTGCTTCCGACTTGATGGCAAAATACAAAAGGATGTCGCTCGATCTCGATCGATTTGCAAGGACGTGTCTCGGAATCCCTCCCCACAGTTTGAAGGCTTCATGCACGTCTTGGTCAGGCAGCTTGAAAACGGCCTTGTTCAGCTGCATGATCTCCTCCTTGGACCATACGGGAAGGTAGTACGTCGCCGTGACAGGATATTTGCTGAACTGGAAATGGTTCTCCTTGGCAGGAGAGCAGGTCAGAACGAAATGGCAGTGACCAGGTAAGGTCCAGTGAACCATTGGGACACGCTTGTCCGCCAAATACCACACTCTCCCCCTGTGCTGCTTCACCAGCCGACGGACAGCATCTGAGTCACGGTTCAGGTTGACTACAGTATTTCCCTGCCCGTCTTTTGTGAAAACAAAGAAGAGACCTGAGCCTTCAGCGTACTTGAGGATGATCATGCTCCACTCCGCATTACCTTGGACCAGGTGCCATAGAAGGTAAACGCAGTAGGCTGATTTACCAATCCCAGGGTTGCCAAGGACAACGACAGACTTGGCCCTCGGGGTCTTGAAAAATCCATCGATTTTGCTGCAGAGTACGTCGTAGCAATCTCGCTTGAGCAGCAAAGGCTCGCAGTCTGCGGTACCGTAGCCCCACTCATCACATAGAAACTGGGGAAGCCTCAGGAAGCTTGCACCATCGACGTCTTTCACCACCTCGAATTGGCTTTCAGGAAACGCTTGAAATTCTTTCTGGACATTGCGAAGTTCTGAAGACGCCTCCTGCCGCCAGTTGTTGCTATATGCATCTGATATGAGAAACTTATAACATGACGATTTTGTGTCTGATTACCTGGCAGAGCGCCTGTGCTGTAGCCACATTTTGGAGGATGGGCGCTCCAATCAGCTCCCACCGGCTCATTAGCTCGTAGCCAGTACCGGAACGACGACAGTGCTACTCCCTTCGATCGGCCGCGCATCCCGACAGCCCTCCACATCCTGCAACCCTATTAAAAATATCCGGGAGAGTACTCCTTTTTTGGAGCTTTTTCTAAATTTTTTTCTTCTTCTCTGGTTTCCAGAAAGTTTTAGTGTGCGTGTTTTGGTTGAACCAACAATTCCAAGTCTTTGTGCATGTGGGGAGGTAGTTTGTATTTGTGTTGTCCAAATCTTGGAAACAGTTGAAATCATGATGTGACGTGGAGATGTATGGATATTCCTTGGGAGGTTTAGGAGGAAAATCTATAATAGAGGATAGTAGAGATCTAAAGGAAATCTACAAAGGCAATGACAAAGAAAGGTTAGCTGGGCCTGACCCTTTTTCTAAAATATTTAACAATGTTTAAAAGTTAAAGTTAGTGTGGTGAGATTGCACTCTATTTTTTGTGAGCTTTGGAGACTTTTCTTTATAGTTCACAATTGAGCATTGGCAATAGGGTGTCCTTTAGTAATTTCATCAAGTAATTTTTGCTTGCTTCTCTCGCAACTCACTAGATTCTTACATAGGCACAACACAGTGGAATTTGTGCAACACAATGCCTCCTAGCCTGAATTCTAGCAGAGACCCTACTAGATTGAAGTGGCTAAAGGATAATTGCAAACCTAAATGAATGCTTTTGCATTCTTGCAACTGGCCATATAGGAGAATATCCATTAGTGACATGGGCCAATAAGGGTGAGTTCAACTATTCCCTTCTCTTTAGTATCAAAAGGTAGTAGAAAATACATATCTTAACATTTGTCATGTAGGGAGTGACTAGATAGAGAGATTTATTATTTTTTCCAGGAACAGTAAAAGAATCTCTAAGATTTTTAGGAAGGAGTATTTTGCTACATGGGAGAAGGTAGCTCGACTCCTAGAGGGTCGAAAGATTCTTGGAGGAGACTCGAGCAATATACTCAGTGAGGAAGAACAGGCCAAGAAGGAAGTGGCAAGAGGATTCTATCCAACTTCCAACAGATCTGTAAACAATGGTGTCACCAATAACAACCACACCAAGACCTCAATTATCAAGAGGCTTTGAAGAAATGTTAGGGACTTCTCGAGCTTTCCAAGAGCTGCCAAGAAGGCCTCAAAGGATTGTAAAGGGTGGTCAAGCATTGGATTCTTTGATGAGGAAGAATTTTGAAATTGGGGATTTGCAACGGACTAAGAGAGTTGCTATGTGATGATTTCACTTCTTTCCATAGGGATAGAGAGCCTTACAAAAGAAGAAGGCATGGATTTCAACTAGAATTTGGCAAAGGAGGTAAAGGATGAATAGCTTCACAATAAGAGGTTCTTCCAAATAGAAGTGGATGGAATTGTGAATGTCTTTGAAAATTTGGTTGTGATGACCATAGGGGACAAAAATCATAGTCCCCACCATCAAGTCATTCAGAAAGTTCTAGCAATGAGGATATTAAAAGCCCAAGGGCATATGCAAAGATAACATGACCAAGAGGCAAGACATCCATTTTAGGGACCAATCAGCTAGTGACTGAGGGGGTTGAGGGGACCTAAGGGATGCCTTTAGATCTTTTGATAAGGGAACCTTTATTCTGGTAAGGGCATAAAAGAATTAAATTGAGTAAATACCAAAAGGAAGATCTTCATGTTCTAATTATCTTAAGCTCTATATTTGGAGCATCTACACATAAAGGACCACTGATACATCCTCCTAGGATATTTGCAGGATTATGAGGTCTTGTTATACTATATGAATGAGATGCCACTATCTCTAGCAAGTTTAAATTGTCTAGCTTCAAAGGAGATGGTAAACTAGATGAGAATTAAGACTGGTTGGCAAACCCTTTTTATAGCAAAATAAGTGAAAAGTTGGTTAGCCTACACTACTTTACTATAGACTTGAAGTGCAATGTCCACTAGGTTAACTAGGGTTTGGTGGAATTCTTCAAAAGAAGATTCCTAGGGCATCCAAAAGGATGCAAGATTGGGCTCAACTGGTTTGAGTGAAAGTTTGGAGATCATTGTCTCAATTTGAATAGTTGAAGATTCTTACATGAGCTTGCCATGAGGACTTAGAAGAATAATGGAACTGTCTGAACTTTTACAGATGCCCTAAGTTGTCTTATAATGCAGTTGGGGCCATTTATGATGATTGATTGGTGTCTCAAGGAGTATTTATGGAGGGATTGAGGACTCCATTAAGGGATCATATAAAGAATATTCTACAAGAGTCATATGCACAGGTAGGTAGTTGAGTTCAAATTTTAAGAATGTTTATATGAGATGGAGATTCCTAGGGCAAACAAGGCAATAGAATCAGTAGACCAAAAAAAGATTGCAAAAGAAATTGTTACAAAAAAGTTGAGTGAAGGGAGTATGTAGCTTTTAGCCTAAAAGTGGGTTGATTTAACATTTAATTTATGGAAGAGGCAAGGAATGCTTAGATTAGGGATTTATAGTTTCCTAAGGTAAGGCATTTGGAATTCCCTTTTGGGACATTGGAGTAGTTTAGAAAAGATTGGTAGGGTCATCTTAAGAATTTGGTGGATATGTCTCAAATGGCCACAAAGAGTGGTAAAGAATAAAAATTCATTACAAGTGGAAATGGGTGGAATTTATGATTAATAATGCAAAGTTGTAACAAATATGCAAGGAGGAATAGGTGGATATATAGGATGCAATTGGCATTGCATCCTAAAGGTGGCAAAAATAGAACAATGCGTTTATGCTATCCAAAAAAACTTTTCCACCTTTCTATTAAAATTTTCTTCAAAAAAGCATAATGGAAAGAAAAAATCAATGTAAGGGCACAAACCTCTAGAAGACTTAGGGATACATAGTCTAAAGAGTGGTAGCCTAGTAGATGGATTTTTGTTTAGTATGAGCAAGGTAGCAAAAAAGGACCATTCCTTATAAAGAAAAGTAAATTAGAAGCAAGTGTGAAGAATGATGAAACTAAGAAGTCTCTAAAAAGAGGAATAAAAAAAATTCATAAAAAGGGCTTTAAAATTCCTTACTTGGGCCATAAGAAGAGTTGGTTGCTAAAGAATGAACTAGCAAAGTTGACCATTAAATGTGTTAAAGACAATTTCTAAAATGAGAAATAGGAGCTACTAGAGGTTATTTGGACTTTGACCTTTTATGTATAAAAACAACAAGTTTCTTCTATAGCTAATTTGCAAAAATTTTGTAGGCATACTTAGAGATGGAGGCATTCTATCCTTAGTTGGTGATCTAGAGATATTAGGAAGATATGCTATTGCCTTAGGTGTATAGAACCCAACTTATGGCAATCTAGGTCTGGTTATGAGACAAAAGGTATTTTGCTATGATTTGAAAGATGCAAAAGGAGTTAATAGAGTTAGCCATTAGGAATACCATACAGCAAGTCACTAATGTGCAGCAACTTCATGATGAGAACCAAAAACTATTAAAGGTTGTGCAACATTTGGTGAAGGCATATGGACAATGAGAGTCAGAATTGGAATAGCATATTGTGGAGTTTAACACCTGATTTAAAAACACACTAGTAAATGTTCAGAAGAATAATCAGATCCTGGAGGAGAGCCATGCATTGCAGGAGTTGGTGGCATGGCAACTTTGAACAACCATGAATATAAAAAAGCTAATTGAGGCAATTAAGTTAGTTAGATCCTTGAAGAATGAGCTATAGGAAAAGACTTCACCACAGGAGATGAAGATCTTGGAGCTCAAAAAATAGGTATGAATGTTCTTTAGTGCTAGAGAATACAAGGCTTGCTAAGAGGTATGAAGGGAAGTAATAGAAGAAGACGAGTCTATGCAAGAGCTTGAAGAGTTCTCTAGGGAGGAGTTGGACCTAAGAAATGACTTAAAGGACACCACCAAAAAGCTAAAAGGCAAGGTTAAGGATATTTGAGAAGATGCAAAAGCTTTATTTGAGCTAAGGAAGACAACCAAGGAGCAAGTGTAGGAGATGGAGTCATCTTTGAGTAGATGGCCAAAATAAGGGTAGGGGAAACAATATTAGGAGGATGTTGGAATAGAAGGAATCTTGAATGGGCCCAAAGATTCCCAAAAAGAAGTAAGTATAAAAATC